ATATTGTTGGCCCACTTCACCTCCCGATGGTTCAGTACTTATTTTCCAGAGTTTTCACAAAATAATGTTACCAAACCCAGTGTACTTACTGGCCTGATTCAAAAATTGTGCTAAGACCTGAAAATGTGGAGTCTACAGGACACAGACCAGTATTAATAACTGAAGAGATGCTATTCATAAAAGTCAAGAGAACAAGCAAATATTAAATATATCATATTAGAAAGTTAATTTGATTACTATTTATTTGTTGTTCCTTTCCCTTCTTTTGGAATATATACACAGACATGTACAGATTTTTAAACTGATTCCTAACCTAAGAAGTTTCCTTACCACTCTTAACAGATCTGAAGTGTATCTCCCATCAATTTGAAGGATCCTTTTCATTTCCCTTCTTCAATCTGGACATACAATCTGGACATTCAATCAACAATTTACACAAACATTGTACCAAATTACAAAAGCACCAAAAAGAGTCAGGACACAATGTCTCTGTATGGTATCATTGTGACCTCTGACAGACCAACCTATGCCAGGCAGATAACTCATTAATAACAGGGATTTCTTAACAATGGGAGTAAAGAAATAGGCCTTTCATTATGAAACTTGGTGAATTAATATTTCTCCCTGCTTATGGATCAGCCAGAAATTTTAGTTCTTCACATGCTGTAGTTGCTACTTTTTCACAAAAATAGCTACAGAGTGAATGCATACATAAAATGATGGCACGTCCAAATCTATAAACGCTAGTATGAAATACTATTGCCATAAGAAAATAAGATTAAGAACCAGCTCTCTAATTACATATCTATTTCATTTGTTGTCCATATATCACAAAGTATCCCAACTGAGTATAAGATTTAAAATACTCCATAGTCCCCTGGCCTCCAAACAACAAATTGATACAAATGTACCTCATTTCACAGGGCTACTTGTTTCCAACTCTTGGAGATGTATTCCTATATAATTACATTTGAAGAAAAGTCTTTCATTATTGCTTAAGTTTGCAATCCTAGATCAACTTTCCTGTGAGCAAGTATTCAATAATACAATGTTTTATCAGTTGTGTTTGGGAGCATAGAAATATTAGAGAAAGGATTTTGAGTTTTTGTTGCATCAAGCTTTTATTTTGTTCATATTAGACTTGGTGGAAAATTCCAGCCTTTTGGCATTCTGCCCAAATTGGTTATAGCAAAAATGGGTGGGGTAACTGGAAATCTGACTCTCTGGATTTTAAACTATAAAGTAAATATAGTATATAATATAAACTTAAACTATCAAGTTATTCCGATAAATATTTGGCCTCTGTTTTATTATATGTCAGTGTGCAGACAGGATTAACCAACTGTTGTTATGGAGACCAGTGTTTTAACTAATACTAATACTTTCTAGGTGATAGTCTTTAAAAAAACACAAACTTTTCAAGTACCTTGTCTTTGCTGTTTGGGTTTGTGTGTATGCGGGTGGGTATTGTTTGTATTGATCTGACTAGTTTAGTAATATTTCATTTTTACTCACTACGTTATTTTAAAAAAGGAAATATATAAAATTGAAGAAAGCTAAGCAGGGTTGCATATGGTTAGGGCGTGGAACAAGAGGCAAATTTAGAGCTATAGACTACAATGGGAAGTCAAAAATATATTCCGGAAGGCAATGGCAAATCATTTCCTTACCTTATTAAGAAAATTGTGCAGATGTGTTCATGAAATCACCATATGTGGGACTTATTTTGAAGAATATCTGTGTAGGTTCTCAATCATCCAGGTCATGGTTGTCCCAAATGTGTTTTTCCAAAAGGCAACTGAAATTTCTTGTGTTTTTTTTTCCCTTTGAAGTTTTTGTTGAAGTTCTGAAGAAACTTCTTGGATGAGAAGCAAAATGTTTTCAAGGAAAAAAAATAATAACTAAGGAAGTCCAGTTGTTTTGAAGAAGACTATTTTTAAATCAGATGTCCTCCAGACATATCTATACTTTCCCCTCCCCTTTATTGTCAACATGTTCCACATTTTCTCAGAGAACTCAAGGTGATGTTCTTGTGGGGTGGTGGTGGAATCTCTAGGTATCTTAGCCTCATAACAAGAGACTGACTGGCCTATATTAACCCAAAGTGCACTGTGGCTAAGCAGGACAGAACCCAGTCTTTTCAGTTATTTAAGCATTCCTGCACATTGACAGCTAGTAGTCTCAGACTGACCCATGCATTCTGAATAAAACAAAGAAATTAGTTCAATGCATTGTTCACCGGTACTGATGTATCCACATGGATTAATCTTTCGCCTAATGCATAGTATGACCTCCGCTTTTTAACTTCACACTGTTACAGATTAGTATGCATATCAAGGTTGGTACAAATTAGGCCATGGTTTGTTAAACCATAATTTACTGAAACAACAACAATTGATAATTGATATAATACACAAAACTTCTCTTCTGGGGCCTTTATAACCTAACTTAGGATAATGTGTTTACTCAACAAAAGACAGCTGAATGATTTTCAACGCAAATAAAACACTATATACCACAATACTTAACATCTTTTCATAAGAACTCGATGTGAGGCTTCATGACAAAACCTATCCCACCCTATCCGAATCTGGATATCCTTCAGACGTGTAGATTTCAATTTCCAAAATTTCTTCAGCAACATAACCACTGCTCGTAATTTTGAAAGTTGAAGTCTATACATCAAGATGGTACCAAGTAAGGGGATGTTGGCCTATATTCCATCCCTAGTCATTATTACTATTATTAAATTTATTTGCTGCCTATCTCGCCATGGAGCTACTCTATATGGCTCACACCCTTAAAAAAAAAAAAAAGCTAAGAAGTAAAAAGGAAGTTTAAACAAAACAAAAATAATCAAAAAAGAAAACAAAGGAAAAAGAAAACAAAGAAAATACATTGATATAACTAATAAAAAAAGATGAGTGAGTGGGAAATGGAATGGAATGCAAGGTAATGGACACATGTTGACACATGCACAATGATTTCCTAATGCATACTCTGCCCTTTTGTCCCTGCATTTTGATATTACTTGGTCCTTTTTGCCCTCCATTTAGCTTTTCTCCCTACATTAGCTGTATGAGAACAGAAAAAAATATATGAATGGGCAGCACTTGGAACTGCCTATTTGGAGGAACCCAAGCTCCTGTGATCAATATGTGTTTCCTTGAGATGAAATTATTTGCATTTTATTTATGAGAATATTCAGTAAGACGAAGAGAAGCAGAGCTTTCTAACTCTGCAAATGTAAAATGCCCTGGCTCTCACCCGCTTACCTACTAGAAATCCCGACTGTGCTCACTGTATTTTCTTCTTACTATACAAACATTCATAGGTGTTTAACTGCTCTAGATGACATGTAAAGCTCAATGAGGAGACTTTCATAGGACTGAACCCTTTGATTCAGGGGGGAAAAAAAGGTGAAAAACAGCCCTCCAGATTTTCAGGGATGAGGATTTTTCATAATAGTGAATTTTGCTAATGTTCTATTATATAAGTACATTATTAGAACTTTGTTGTATACATTTTAACGGCGTGAATAATACTTTTTTTAAAAAGAGACAAGGAATAAGAGACAGGGTCATTTAATTTTTTAAAAAGATGGATTAGAGATTAGGTGTACTTTCAGATTATGTGAGAACTAGTGCATAGTGTTGAATGACATACTATCAGACCAGTGGTGGGATTAAAAAAAAATTACTACCGGTTCTGTGGGCGTGGCTTGGTGGGCGTGGCAGGGGAAAGGATACTGTAAAATCTCCAGTCAGAGGTGGAATTGCCGGTTCTCCGAAGTACTCAACATTTCTGCTACTGGTTCTCCAGAACTGGTCAGAACCTGCTGAATACCACCTCTGTGTCAGACATTGTACAGGTAGTCCTCGACTTACAACAGCACTGAAAAAAATGACTTACAATGATTTTTCACACTTAGGACTGTTGCAGCATCCCCTTGGTCATGTGATTATATTCGGATGCTTAAAAAGTAACTCACATTCATAACGGTTGTAGTCTCCCAGGGTTGTGTGACCTGTTTTTGCGATCTTCTGACAAAGTCAATGGGAAAACCAGATTCACTTAACAGCTGTGTCATTAATTTAACAACCGCAGTGATTCGCTTAACAAATGTGGCAGGAAAGGTTGTAAAATGGGGCAAAACTCAACTGATTTCTCACTTAGAAACATAAATTTTGGGCTTAGTTGTGGTCATAAATTGAGGACTACCTGTATTTCAGTAACTGATGCTGAAAACTTTATTAGAGCTTGTCAATTAAAATTGTCTCTGGCAATTCGCCAAGGTCAACTCATCATGACCAACTTGCTACAGCCAACTTGCCACGGCCAACTTGCTGCAGAACAACTCACCATGGCCATCTCCACATGGGCCAACTCACTGCAGGAAAATAGCTACACCAATATCAAAGAAATGATAGAATCATTAAAGAAAGCATGCAAAAGGAGGAAGAGAATAAAACGTGAATGGCAAAAATTAAAATATTTTAAATAATTAAATAGAATTGTTACATTGTTCAGCAGCAAGTTGGCTGTGACAAGTTGGCTGTGGCAAGTTGGCCATGGCGAGTTGGCCACAGTAAGTTGGCTGTGGCAAGTTGTCCCATTCCAGGCCAGGGGTCTTTTGCACAATGTGCCTTGTGTGCCAGTTACACCCATTCTTGGGTTGAGAAGGCCTACTCATGGATACCCATGCCTTACCGTTGTCAAGGCATTCTAAACAAACAAACAAACAAACAAGTAGTTGTTCTTCTTAAAATATATATTTTAATCCATATGCCAATAGGTTTGTGTCAGTAGTCAATCAGATTCTTGAAAAAAAAAATTAAACGCTATCGGATCTTGATTCTTCCCCGGGTTTTTTTTTTTTTTTTTTAAATCCCGTATCAACGATATCCCATTTCCCAGCCAGAAACCTTCCTGCGCAGCCCTGCTCAAACCAGGGTGCTCTGTTCCTTTAAGACGCTGCCGTGCCTGTGTTGTACTGTCTCTTTAAAAGGCTGTATCCTCTTGGCCCTAAGCTTTTGAGAAAGGACTATGGCCATTTTTTCGGTCCCCGTCTTTCTTCTCTTCCTCTTAATCTGATTAATTTTAACCACCGTCGTTCCGATTTAAAAATCAGAAGGACGGCAAGATGGCTGAGATGGGCAAGGGAGTCACTGCAGGGAAAATAGCCAGCAACATGCAGAAGAAGCTCACCAGGGCCCAAGAGAAGGTAAGCAAAAGGCAGGCAGGAGGGGAAAAAAATAAATCAGAATAAAATAAAATAAAATAGCGGGGAAGGCTCTCGGAGGCTAATCTATAAGGCGAGCATTTGCGGTGGGCACTTCTTCGCCTCCGATGAAGCGGGGGGGGGGGGTTTTTTTTTTTTTGCTGTTGCAGTTGCTGTGATTATGTGGGATACGGGAGAGGGGGGGGGGCGGTTGCAACGTAATGCACCAATTCTCCAACACCGTATGCTTCCTTTCGTTGACATTGACAGCTCGGCCACGTTGTCTATCTTGCTTTCGCCTTCCACCTGGTTACCCCGCCGCCGTTGGCTTTTTTTTTTTTTTTTGGGGGGGGGGGGGTTGCACTCGCTTTGTGGCCCTGGTGCTCGGAAGGAGGAAAGATCCGCGGGCGGAAAGACCCCTCCTCTCCCGCACTCGTGTTCTTAAAGACCCACCGGGGTTGGGGTGGTGGTGGTGGACGGCAACGGTGACTTCGAGACGTGTGTGTGTGTGTGTGTGAGAAAAAGAGAGAGAATTTGGGATTTCTTTCCAAATCAGTCCAGGGGGGCTATTGCGACTGAAAGAGCAAGATGGGAAGGGCCGGAAGCTGCTAGTTCTTTTTAAGGCATCTGGAAAGCGGCGGGTCGGGAACCTGAGCTGGATTTTGGATCGCTGCGATCGGTCTTTTTCCGCCGCTCTTTTCCCCCGGGCCGTCCCCCATTAAATTCCCAGCCGAGGGGCGGAGCAGCGAAGGTTATTATAGGCGCCCGCTTATCAGCACGCTGCTGTTATGGGTCGAAAGATAATCCCCATCATCCGATCCCTCTTTTTTTTTAGTCCTGTTTTATCGATCCGGAGCGTCGGCAACACGAGGGAGGGCCGGTTGAGGCTTCAGCCTCCACAGTCCCCCTGCCCCATACACTTCACCGTGCCGGTTTGGCAAAGCAGCGCTCGGACCGAGGCAAAAAATTAGGGAGGGGGGAAAAAACAACGACCCCACACTCGCGCGCTTCCCGACTGGCGCAGGATGGCGGCTATTTCTGGCCGCTCCTGTCGAAGCGAGAGAGAATGAGCGCGGCTCGGGGTTGAAGGAGAGCGGGCCCTCTCCGCTGCCTCGTTTTGGTTTAAAATTCTCAAAACTTAAGTTCGGTGACCAAGTTTCGGCGCGGGATTAATGAACGGAGGAAAGCCAAAAAAAAAAAAAAAAAAAAGTGTGTGTGTGTGTGTATGTGCTTTTTTGTGTGACTGGTTGGCTTCCGAGAGCTCCGCTTCTTACAAAAGGGGGCTGGCTTGCAAAAGATCACTGATCTTTTCAGGGTTAAAAGGGGAAAAAAAAAAAAAAACCACACACAGATCGGCCGCGGCTCAAATTACGTCAGATGAAATTGCGGGCGAGATTTCCCTTTCCCGTCTTCCCTCGGCAGAAGCGAGCTTATCAGTCTCTTCAAAACCTCCCCTCCCCCGCTCCCCCCTCCCTTCCCTCTCCTTTAAGGTAAAGAGGCTTCGCTTGCAAATTCTCCCTCGGGAATTTCCCCTGGAAGTGACTCTTGGAGCGGCTTCTGCCTTTGGGACCGACTGCCGGCTCCGTCCCCCGGGGCTCCTAAACTGAGTGGGGGTTTCTCACCTCCCCCTTTCCTGGTTTGGGGAAAGGCTCCGTCCCCCAGTCCCCCGCCCCGTTCCCCTTAGGCGTGAAGTCCCAAAGGTGCTTTTTTCAGGAGACAACTGGGCTTTCTTTGAAGACGTTTCGCCTCTCATCCAAGAAGTTTCTTCAGTTCTGACAGGACTGTAGGGGAATGGAGGGATTGATATTCCTGGCAGACAGCTGGTCGTGAGAAGAGAAACGTCTTCGAAAGAAGAAGAAGAAAAACCCAAGAAAGTCCAGTTGCCTCCTGGAAAAAAAAAAAAGCACCTTTGGGATAACCGTGACCTGGATGACTGAGGATCTCTACAGGCGTGAAGGCGGTCTGAAGGGGAGAGCGAAGCGCCCGCACTTCGCCTTGCCCGTAAACCCGGCTCTTCTCTTCTCTTCTCTTCCCTCCGCCCTTTTTTTTACTTTCCCCTTTTAACTTGAGGTGCCAGGTCAGGCCGCGAGAAGGGGCTTATTGGGATAAAGCGGCGTTGGGGGGGGGGGCGGCGGGAGGGGGGGGGGGCGCGGGGGGGGGGGGGGGGGGGGGGCGTCGAGGGAAGGTGGCCGTGGTAGCCATCGGACTTGCTCATCTTCCCCCACCACCCACCCCCTTGCACAGGTGGGGTGTGTGTGGGAAGGACGGCAGAAGTGTTGCATAGACTGCCGGCTGCCTGCAATTTGGCAGTTCGAATCTCACCAGGCTCAAGGTTGACTCAGCCTTCCATCCTTCCGAGGTGGGTAAAATGAGGACCCAGATTGTTTGGGGGGCAATAGGCTGACTCTGTAAGCTGCTTTGAGAGCGATGTAAAGCACTGTGAAGCGGTATATAAGAAGAGGCGAGAAACCGCTGTGGGCGGTGATGCTGCCGCTTTCTGTTTTGATCCGGATTGCTTGTTGCCTTGTTGCCTGGTTTTCTTTTTCTGCACCTTCTGATCTGACAAATTGGAAACTTCACTCGCCAAAATCCCGACCCCAAATCTCCCAGCAGTAGTGACAAGCTCTTAAAACTGCCTTTCTTACACACCCTGGATTCCCCCTCCCCCCAAAGTCATTTATACCAATAAGGGCAGAGTTCAGGTAGTCCTTGACTTGCAACAATTCGTTTAGTGACTGTTCAAAGTTACAGTGGCACTGGAAAAAGGGACAGTGGTTTTTCACACAACCGTCACAGCATCCCTGTGGTCACATGATCAAAATTAAGATGCTTGGCAACTGGCCAGCATTTATAACGGTTGCATTGTCCTGGGTTCATGTGATCCCCTTTTGTGACCCTCTGACAAAGCCAATGTCGGAAGGAAGCCAGATTCACTTAACAACTGACTTACTAATTTAACAACTGCAGTGACCCACTTAACAACTGTGGCAAGGAAAGGTAAAATGGAGCAAAACTCACTTAACTGTTTTGCTTAGTAACAGAAATTTTGGGCTCAGTTGTGGTCGTAAGTTGAGGACTACCTATATTTCACCACTGGAAAATCTCTCTCGAACCATTAGGATTAATAAATGGGAGCATGGGATTTAATTCAATACCCTGTCTCTCTTGTCTCTATGGTACCAGCTGCTGCTGTATAAGGCCTAGGCTTAGGAGATCCAGGTTCAAATGTACTACTATCTGAATGGTTCATTGGATGGTTTGGGGCGATTTGGCTTTTGGACCTCCACAACTGCAGTGGTAAAGTGATAAACACTAAGCACTAATCCTGGAATGGTCTTAGCCTGTTTTTGTTCCCAGACACTTGACCATCCTGGCAAAGCTTAACAGACACCATGCAGCTATCTCTGGATGGTGGTAGAAAAAAAGAGGAAGCTTCCTTTTTATTTTGGGTGCCTCATCACACTTTCACCGTCCCTTCGGTACGATTCATCTGCTGAGTGTGTGACCCTACAAATCTTCTCGAGGCCTGCTGAGGATGGCCGGTATTTCATTCCTGGAGATTTTCTTGTATGAAAAACCTTGGTTTGGGAAGGCGGATAATGGAGAATTTCTTCATCTCACTGTGCAATTGTCCAGATGGCCAGGAATTTTTTTCACTCTGGAGAAAGACCTTTGCCAAATTCCTATTCTTGATTTCATGCCTCACTTCCACCCTATGACAGCAATGGGAGCAGGACTTTAAACACGAAGACAAACATATGTTTGTAGGTATCTGGGGAGTAGGGGAGTGATAGCACAAGCATCATGACTTCATTGTGCAAATGATAACAAATTACGTATTGCAATGATACTGTGACATGCATGATGTTACCATGGCTTGCACTGGACTCCTCTTTGTATATTTGGACTTTTGTGAAGGGGTGATCTATGTAAGTGCTAACTAAATTGACTTCAAACAGCTGTCCTTGCAGACAGCTGGCAGTTCCAGGCTCTCCTGCCTGTCTTGCAAAGGAGTTTTGTGATTCCATCCTCAGCAGATGGGCTAGTCCTGTGGATGGGAAACTAAATATTAGAGGAAAAGTTTCTTAACTACTTCTTCTCATCTAAGATAATTGAACTGAACCGTGTTTCTAAATGAGCCAGATCTATTTATGGGAGAAGCCTTTGCCTGTTGATGAGTTGCATTATACTGTCCAAAGTTATCTTACCCTTACAAAGTATGGCAACAACTCTATGGCAGGTTTCAGCTGGTAGATACACATAAACAAACTATACTGCTCCATTGCTGTTTTGCAGTAAATATTCCTTAATTTGTCTCTTCTTCCACCATGAGAATAGTATTTCTTAGTTTAAATAATGAGTTAAAATATTACTGTCATTTAAGCTTGAATCCAGTATAAGTCTCTTTGAAATGTTGCACAATCTCAACTCTGGGTGGGCTGCCTCTTCTCACATCTACATAAGTCTTCTGCCTGTTTCCTGAAATCCACCACAAATATATAGTATAAACCTTCATATATTGCTGAAGTATACTTCCCTACATCCTTTATCTTTGTAAATGAGAGTGGGTGTGACTGCTGGGAATTGTAGTTTAACAACAGCTGGAGGGCCATAGGTTGTCTGGTCTTGGTATTTCCAGCAATAGAGGGGCGTTGAAAATTACAGTTGAGAAAGCTTATGGTATCTCTTATGGTGCAGTTGTGATCTGGATGGCATGGAAAAGATTGAGGATAAATCCTGGCAAAACAGATTGTTTGTACATCAAAATTTTCTATCAGTTCTGGTGTTGTCTCTTGAGGGGGTGATACTACTTCTGAAAGAACAAGTTCATGATTTAGTGAGGTAGAGGTGCCCAATTTTGTTTGATGTGCCAATTGCAGCCCTACATGAAGATTTTGCAACAGTAATGCATTCTGCTTGCAACAGTGATGCATTCTGCCTGCAACAATGATGCATTCTGCCATCATTGCTCACTTGAACTATTGCAATGCGCTCTGCATGAG